CGAGGGTGTCGCGGTGGCCCTCCGCCAAGAAGTCATCACCGTGGCAGCACATCGTGGCGTCCATGCCGTCACCCACTAAGTTCTCGAAGTAGTTGGTCCCAGCTGTGCCCTTCAACGGTGTGCCTCCTGCGTCATCGATCGCTGCCTTGCTCGTCTCGCCCCAGAGCTGTGAGGCCTTCCTCGTCCCGTTCATCGCCCTGTGCAAAACCCAGCAGAAGCCTTTTGGACACAGCTCCCAACCTGGATGCACGTAGACCAGCTCGTCCAAGTCTGCATTGAAGAACGCCTTGCGGACATCCCAGACACGCAGCAGCCGACGGTGCACGCCGTCAGCATCAGACTTGGATGCTGCGAGGGAAATGATCAGTCTGATGACCATCAGCGGCGGCGTGCCCTGGTGGTTGTCCTCGCGGTGCTTGTCGTTCACCTCGGTCGCGACAAACCTCCAGCGCACCTTGTCGCCCTTCATGTGGGCGATCGGAAAGCCCCTGACGTGCTTCCCCCCTGGCTGGCACTGAGAGATGGGGATCTCCGTGTAGACACCGTACTCCTTCATCGCCTCCAGCTCGTCGCGCCTGCCCTCCTGGTAGAGGTCCTCGTCCAACGGCTCGCCTGAGTAGTAGTCGTAGTGGACCATCTGCGGGCTCTCAACCTCGTCATCCAGACCGCCCGCCCACATGCTGTACAGGCCTGCCACCACTGCGCTCGGGGCCTCCACGGCGCGCGCAGCATGGATCAGGCACAGCCGACAGGCGCAGCCTCCACGGTGGTCAGCTCGAAGTGCACACCGTCCTCCATGCGATGGGCATCTGCCGTCGCACCGGCTCTCGGCCGTGGGGATCGGGTCCCAGACGGGGTCGTACTCCTCGGAGTCGTCCGCCTCGCAGACCGCGAGCTCACACACCGACATGCCCGCGATGACGGTCACCTCAGGCCTCACACCAAGAAGCTCGATCCTCTGGCGCTTGCCGCCCTGGTCCTCGGATCCTGCAGCCTCGACCTGATGCTTGCGAGTCGTGTCCTCCTTGGTGTCCATCGGCGTGTCGGGGATGTTCCCGACAGAGCTCCTGGGAGGTTGGTCCGCCTTGGCCTCCTGCACCTGCGCTCCTGGCCTCGGTGTGCCCGGCGCTCGGTCCTCAGGCTGCGAGCGCTGACTAGGACCAGGCGCACCCTCGGGCACGGGCGTGCCAGGCGCCACTCCAGGCGGCGCTGGTGTCTCTGGCGAGGCTCCCTCAGTCTTGAGCCTCCGCTCGAGCTCCTCCTGGACGATGTGCTCGAACCTCTGCCTGCAAGCGTCGGAGTGCTGTCCTCGCCCTGTGGAGCATTTGAGGCATTCTGAAGTCGGTCCATGTCTGTCAATCATCCTCTCTGTGATGTAGAGGCCCTTGGGCCTCGCAATCTCCTTGGCCCTAGCTGGCGTGGGGTCCCAGGGCGTCACGCTGATCTGCCTCAGCAGGTCCTCGGACCAGCGGAACTCCTCGGGCATGCGACGCACCGTGCGCACCTTGAGGAGCCCGCGCTGCAAGTCCACCACTAGGTGCTGGTCGTCAAACTCCGACTTGCCTGCCCACACACCTTTGGCAAAGCGGGCCTCGAACTTGCCCTGACCGCTGGCTACCCGCCCAGCGATCCGATACCAAACCTGCTCGCCGATCTCGGCGACTTCTCCATCGTACTCCTTGCCAAAGAGAAACTTGTAGGAGGGCCCTCCGTGCTCCCGCGGCTGGAATCGTGTGATATACCAGCCGATCGCGTTCGTCACGAAGGGTAGGATCGGGTGGTCGGCGTCGATCGTGACTTCCAACCGCTTCTCCAGCGCGAACCTGAAGGTCCTCAAGAGGCCCGCTGCCAGAGAGTTGGCGCCTTCCACGCGCCCCATACTTTGATGAGAATGCGCTGCGGCTTTACGAACGATGGTGCCATGGCTCCGATGTTTCTTGACATCTTCGGCTATGGCCACGATAGCGGGTTCGCCATCAGTCAGTAGAACAACTGTGGTGTGACCCCACGAGTCGATCAGCTTTGCCACGTACAGAGTCTTGTATTGCCCAACCATCTTGTTCGTCATCAGTGTGCCCATAGCATTCGACCTCCCGTCTACGATGTTCAGCACAGGGATCATCGTGCGTCTCTCGTCCCTGGGGATGCGCTTGGCCTCGACGAGCTTCACAACGAAGCCGTGGAGCATCGGGTACTTCTTGGCGATGTCGTCAGTAGCTGCGAAGAAGAAGTCCATCTCCACGATCGGCACCTGGTCCGCGTCGAGCTCAGGGCTGTCCTGCTGCTTCGGATGAGGTCGCTCACGGCCTCGCCCCATCACGCACTCGGGGCACCAGGGCCTGAAGGGCAGGTGGTGTGCTGCATGGGCACGCCTCCCCTGCGCCGTCGGCTGTCCTGGTCTCGTGATCTCCTTCGCTTTCAGGGTGACATTCTCCGAGGGGTCTGGTCCAAGCGCTCGAGGCAGAGCCCCAGACGAGCTCGTTGGCGCAGTCGCGGGTGCCAGCGTCTTGCGGGCTGCAGCCAAGATCCCCACGGAGTCCTCTAACTCCTGCGGTCGCAGCGCAGCCATGACCTTGCTCTGCTCGGCGTTCTGGCCGTCCTTCAGCAGCTCGTCGAACTCCAAGTAGCAGGCCGAGCGCTCCTTCTTCAGCTTGATCACCTCGGCGCCCTCGGGCGGCAGCATCGGAGCGTCCACAATCCAGTCTCCCATCGGCGAGTGCAACACGGACTGGCCTCGCCTCGTGATGGCGTCTGTGGAGAGGACGGGGTACTCGATGTCGGCTACCTCCATGCCTAGCTGCAGGACTGCATCTCCTCGTCGAATCTTAACATCGGTACGACCATGGTGGGGAACCTTGCTCCCGTCGATCGCATGCAGCTCGTGGATCTTTGATCTCTGGATCGTGTAGCCTGCATCGTACACCATCTGGCTGGGCATCGCCGAGATCTGCGCACCGCTGTCGATCATGATCGCGTCCTTCGGCTTGTGGCTGACCGCTGCGATGCTCGCATGCCTCTCCTCGGCCTCGATCGCCTCAAGCCCGAAAACAAACTTGGTGTTGAGGGTGCTGGATGTGGCGTCCGAGCTCGAAGTCAAAGCTCTCAGCCCAACTGGGATCGTGCTAGCGCTGCTCGCTGCACACGACGGCCCTGTACCTGTCGCACCTGGGTTCGTCGGCAGCGCCGTCGGCAGCGTCCCCGTAGTCGGTAGTGACGGTGCTGTGCCAGCAGACAAGGCTCCAGCCTTAGCTTGAGCTCTTCGCTGCTTCTGCCGATCCTTCTTGTCATGCTTGGCTTTCGTCGCGGCCTCCTCTGCATCCCGTCTCCTATCATCAGCAGCCTTCTTGCGGCACTCCGAGCGTACGTGGTTCGGCTTCTCACAGTAGCTGCACCACTTCTCGGCGTTCTGGGAGTCGTAGCCCTTGCCTTTCTTGCCCTTGCCGTCCTTGCTGCCCTTCGCCTTGCCGCCCTTGGACTTGCCGCCCTTGAGTGCTCCAATGTCCATAGCGTCGTCGTGCACACTCCTCTGGGCTGCAAGGGCGTTCACCACTTCTGCTCTCATGTCGGCGTAGGTTGGCAAACTCCGAAGGTTGCGAAACAAGTGCTTCTGGAGGTCAGGTTCCTCTGAGAGAGCCCCCAGGAGGATGCCACGCGAGACGTTCGCCGATACCGTCTCGCCACTCGCCTTCTCGTAGCGGGCGATCTCCTTGTCCAGTTTCATGATCTCCGTGACAATGTCCGCATCCTTGGGGAACACCGTACCTAGAATCTTCCTGAACTGTCCTACGATGTTGCCAGGCTCATTGGGAGAGTACTCATTCAAGAGCTTCTTCCAAGCCAGGGCGCCCTCTCCCTCTGGTGTATTGGAGAGGATGCTCTCGCCCGTGCTGTCTTCTGGCATCGCCAGCACCAACATAAAGTACAGCTGGCTGGAGAGAGGCTCGAAATCTGGATTATTCACACTGCCTACGTCATTCACCAGCATTGCCACATCAGGTTCGTCCTCGATGGCCTGAAACATCCTTCTGAAACGAAAATCGTTGGCCACCAAGTAGGCCTTCCAGTGAAACTCAAAGGTCTTCCATGAAGAACGTTGGCCGTCAAACTGCTTGACCTTGCCCACTATCTTGCTGTCCAAGATACCTTCCATACGTCGTGGCCCTGCTGGGGGCACTGGTGCTGCTGCTTGCGCTGGTGCTGCTGGCTGGGCCGCGGCCATCCTCTGGAGCTCCTGCGACTGCCTTTGCAGTAAATCTCTCAGCTCTGCAATCTGCTGCGCTTGCAGCTGCACCTGCTGCTCCATGGCGGAAGCTGACCCGTGACTCCCTGGAGTCACTCAGCAAAATGCCGTGGATCAGATCTTGCTCCGCGCTACCATGCAAAGCAATCCTCCTCCCCCAAACTCGGATGATGGATGGGAGGGGATATATTTCTTGAGCCAAAATATGGCGACGATGCAAGAACTCATTCTCTGTCCTCAGCCTGGCCCTGGGAATACCTGCTGGGGTACCCCTCTGAATTGTTACATATCCGAACAAAGAGGGAGCCAAATACCTTGCCGAAGATACGTCAACTTCTCGTGAAGGTTGACAAGGGCGAGCTCAAGCCCACAAAGTACCAGGTCCAGAAGAAATTGCGCACGCTTCTGAAGCTTGATAGCCCGGACACTCCTGCGCAGGCGGCTACATCTACTCGGAAGCCACCGGTGCAGAAGATTCAGCCTTCTCCAAGATTGTTGGCCTCAGACTGGGGGATACGCCAAGATGGGCGGCGCAGTCCTTGGCCAAGCGTACCTATGACAAGCCGACCGTCATCGTGTGCAACACCGTGGGCGAGTTTCATAATGCGAAGGAGAAGGAGCGGGAGGAGGAACTTTTCGGAGCGCGATGTAGAGCAGTGCATGCTGAGGAGGAGCAGGAGGAGGAGGACGAGGAGGAGGAGGAGGAGGAGCAGCAGCAGCAGGAGGGGCAGGAAGGGGAAGGAGGAATGGCCCTCCGCTCCTCCTCTGGGGTCTCGGGGACGCTCGCGGAGGCGTACAAGAGCGCCCCCGCAACGAGGTTCATGCCCTCGGGTAGGCACGCGGGCGCCCGACAGGGGAGGGCAGGATGAGGGGGGGAGGGAGGAAGCACCATCTGGTCGACAGGAAAAGAAGGTAAGAGAAGTCGGCAAAACAGATCCGTAGCTTCCTTCGGGGAAACAGATCGGCTCCCAGGATTGAATATACGTGTCCTCGGCTAGATATTCGAGCTGAGCAGAAGCTACTCGACGCCTTCTGGTGGATAGTGGGTTCGCGCATGGCGCGTAGTGCCGTTCAAGAAACGCCTCGGGGCTTTCCCTGTGCCCTGCAACAGGGAAATCCAGACGAGGAAGACTTGGGGATCTCTGAGAGCTGGCGGGGTCTCGAGGCTGCATCGGGCGCCGCGGCGGTTCCAGAGCGCTGCGGAGCTCTCCGAGATCGTTCCGGGACGCTCTGGAGCGATTTTTCCTGATCCCTAGCCTGCCTGAAGGGACGAGGGGAAGGGGAAGGGCCACAATCCTCTGCGCTTAAGTCGGGCGTGTCCTCCTACAGGGGGATGTTCGACTAAATATATATATATATATATATATACACACACACACACAAAAAAAGAACTCCAGAATGGTAAAACAAATATTCAAAAAATTACCCTGCGACGTACCCAACCCACGTGCATCAAGTGGCAAGAGGAGTAGGCCAACATTAGCAGGAACAACGATAAAGTAGGCGATGTGAATTGCTGTGCAAACTACATGGGATGCGCACGCATTGCACGGCTCACAGGACGACGATCGAAAGAAGGAGGATCAAAGCCCCAGGCTCGCGTATGACGTCACTCCGCTGGGCCACCCAGCAGCCCTCGAAAGTGGTGACAGTTTCGCAGATCGCAGCCCCCCAAGGATGGCGAGGTCTAATCTGAATCCGAATGTGTCCCCACTCCGCTGGGCCCTCCAGCAGCCCTCGGAAGTGGCGACAGTTTCGCAGATCGCAGACCTTCGGGGATGGCGAAGTCGAGCCTGAGTCTGCGTAGGACCCACTCCGCTGGCCCCCCAGCAGCCCTCGAAAGTGGCGACGGTTTCGCAAATCGCAGTCCCCCAGGAATGGCGAGGTCGAATATGAGTACCCCACTCCACTGCCCCCCCCCAGCAGCCCTCGAAACTGGCGACAATTTCGCAAATCGCAGCCCCCCCCAGCGATGGCGAGGTCTAATCTGAGTCCCCGTGGGGGCTCACTCCGCTGGTCACCCCAGCAGCCCTCGGAAGTGGCGACAATTTCGCAGATCGCAGCCTCCCCAGGGATGGCGAGGTCTAATCTGAGTCCCCGTGGGGCTTCACTCCGCTGGGCCCCCCAGCAGCCCTCGAAAGTGGCGACGGTTTCACATCAGAGATCGCAGCCCCCCAGGGATGGCGAGATCTAATCTGAGTCCCCGTGGTGCCTCACTCCGCTGGGCCCACCAGCAGCCCTCGAAAGTGGCGACAGTTTCACAGATCGCAGCCCCCCCAGGGATGGCGAGGTCTAATTGGAGTCCCCGTCCCCGCGGTGCCTCACTCCGCTGGACCCACCAGCAGTCCTCGAAAGTGGTGACAGTTTCACAGATCGCAGCCCCCACAGATGGCGAGGTCTAATCTGAATCCCCGTGGTCCCTCACTCCGCTGGACCCACCAGCAGCCCTCGAAAGTGGCGACAGTTTCACAGATCGCAGCCCCCCATAGATGGCGAGGTCTAATCTGAGTCCGCGTGGTGCCTCACTCCGCTGGACCCACCAGCAGCCCTCGAAAGTGGTGACAGTTTCACAGATCGCAGCCACCCCCAGAGATGGCGAGGTCTAATCTGAGTCCCCGTGGTGCCTCACTCCGCTGGACCCACCAGCAGCCCTCGAAAGTGGCGACAGTTTCACAGATCGCAGCCCCCACAGATGGCGAGGTCTAATCTGAATCCCCGTGGTGCCTCACTCCGCTGGACCCACCAGCAGCCCTCGAAAGTGGCGACAGTTTCACAGATCGCAGCCCCCCCAGGGATGGCGAGATCTAATCTGAACCCCCGTGGTGGCTCACTCCGCTGGACCCACCAGCAGCCCTCGAAAGTGGCGACGGTTTCACAGATCGCAGCCCCCCAGAGGGATGGCGAGGTCTAATCTGAATCCCCGTGGTGCCTCACTCCGCTGGACCCACCAGCAGCCCTCGAAAGTGGCGACAGTTTCACAGATCGCAGCCCCCCCAGGGATGGAGGTCTAATCTGATGCCTCACTCCGCTGGACCCACCAGCAGCCCCTCGAAAGTGGCGACAGTTTCACAGATCGCAGCCCCCGAGATGGCGAGGTCTAATCTGAACCCGTGGTGCCTCACCTCCCCCCACCAGCAGCCCTCGAAAGTGGCGACGGTTTCACAGATCGCAGCCCCCCCAGGGATGGCGAGATCTAATCTGAACCCCCGTGGTGCCTCACTCCGCTGGACCCACCAGCAGCCCTCGAAAGTGGCGACGGTTTCACAGATCGCAGCCCCCAGAGATGGCGAGGTCTAATCTGAATCCCCGTGGTGCCTCACTCCGCTGGGCCCCCCAGCAGCCCTCGAAAGTGGCGACGGTTTCACAGATCGCAGCCCCCCCAGGGATGGCGAGATCTAATCTGAGTCCCCGTGGTGCCTCACTCCGCTGGACCCACCAGCAGACCTCGAAAGTGGCGACAGTTTCACAGATCGCAGCCCCCCAGCGATGGCGAGGTCTAATCTGAGTCCCCGTAAGACGTCACTCCGCTGAACCCCCCAGCAGCCCTCGAAAGTGGCGACAGTTTCACAGATCGCAGCCCCCCCAGGGATGCAAGAGAAAAGAGGAGGAGGAAGAGAAGGGAGGAGAGGAGGGGGACGGGAAGGAGGAGAAGTGAAGACGCGACCGCAGTGCTCTATTCAAAACGAGTACCCAACCAAGGAGGGTTGGGAATAATCCCCTGACTATTTTTGACTATTTTTGAATTTTCCCCCTGTAGAGGGACAGGCCCGACTTAACCCTGCGCCCCCAGGAAGGCAATGCTGGCCCGGGGGTCCGACCGTCAGAAGGAACACGGGCCGCCTGCGAGCGCAGGCGCCGCGATGCGGCCCGAGCGGGCAGCCGTCTCCAGGCACCCGACGGGGCATCACACGACGGGCAAGGGCGAAGTGCCAATCGGGAATCCATCCGAGCCACCGTTCTGTGGTGAAGGCCACGCGCTCGAGCCTCCGCACTCACAAGCTCCAGTGGAGGGGGAGGGGGGGGGGCAGGGAGGGGGCAGTGGGGGGAGGAGGGCTGTCAGGGCTGTACCATCAGGTCACGGGCGGGCCGCCATCACCAGAGACCGTAGAGGCGCGGGGCTCGGTGAGCAGGGGGGCACCAACCTCACGGCCAAAAGCAGAGGAGAGATGTGTCACCGCGGAGTCGTGGAGCCTGGACTAGCGCGGAGTGCCTGTCGCCACCCCTTCTCTGGGGAATCGCAGCGCTGCCCAGCACCCCGTCCTCACCCGCACGGCCCACTGCCGCCAGACATCCGAGCGAGTCTGGGCTCCCAGAGGGGGCAACATCCCTGGGCGGGGAGGCGAACTTTCTAGGGCGGCCAGGGCCGCGATCGGAGCAGGGGCTGGAGCCTGGCCCGCGGCCGGGGCCAGAGCCGAGACCGGGGCAGGCGCAGGGGCCGGGGCCGGGGCCAGGGCCAGGACCAGGACCAGGCCCAGAGCGGCCTCGGGGCCGGGGCCGGGCCGAGGCCAGGGACGGGGCCGGAGGCGGGCTCGGGGCCGTGGCCGGGACCAGGGCTGCGGCCAGGGCCAGGACCGGGGCTGGGACCAGGCCTGGGGTCAGCGGTCCGCAAAGTGGGGGGGGCTTGCAGGGATTGGACCGCGCGTCGATTGGCACTGGAGCCGTGCGCCCAAACACAGCCTGATGATAGGTGCGCGTGCGGCCAAACGGGTGGTCGGAGAACCTCCCCCGTCCCAGCCTGCCTCAACCCCTCCCTCGTCGGATGACATCAACTGACCACCCCACCGATCTTGGCCGCGACGACCCTATGCCCAGGATCGGTGAGGCGGCCAGTTGATGTCCCCGACCTCCTTGCTCCGCCCCTCTCTCGTCTCCTCCCCTCCCCTCCCCGCCCCATGGGCTCCCAGAGGGGACGGGCACTCCCATGTCAGCCCCCCTGGGCGGCAGGAAATGGCTTCCCCACCGCTCGCACGCTGGCAAGACCGCCGGCGTCCCTGGCCTCCTCCTTGCCTCCCAGTCTGCCCCACCATCACCCCGAAGCCTTCGCCTCCACCTCCTGGGCTGCCCCTCCATCACACCGAGGCCTTCGGCTTTCCCTCCCGGGCTGCCCATCCATCTCCTCCTCCTCCTCCTCCTCCTCCTCCTCCTCCTCCTCCTCCTCCTCCTCCTCCTCCTCCTCCTCCTCCCCCTCCCCCTCCCCCTCCCCCTCCCGCTCCTCCTCCTGGCAGAGCAGGCGGTGCTGAGCTTGCTGCTCTTCCCGCCCACGCGCCCGACGGCGTAAGGCTTGATGTGTGCGTGCGTGTGCTGCCCCCCATCACCCCAAGGCCTCCGAAGACCCGACACCTTCGAATGCCCTCCCTCCTGACCTCTCGGCCCTCTCCCTGGGGCCGGTGCTCCGCCCCGAGCCCTGCTCGGACTGCCCCTGGGCCCGAGAACGGCCCTGGGAGGCCGCAGCCACAGACAGAGCTCGGGCTCGATGCGCTCGTGCCCCTGGAATACGACAAAGCCAGGACGAGGATAAAATCGGGTGAAGATCAATCGAGAATCTCTGAGATATTAGAATGACATATGACATAAACATAAACTCGGAGGTCCGCGCGGATTTTTCGGATCGGCGCTCGGGCCCCCTCCCTGGCGCGCGGAGCGCGCCGCCAGGGGGCCCGAGCGCCGATCCGCGAAATCCGCGCGGACCTCCGAGTTTTTATGTGTATGCCACTTTTTGTTCCTCTAGATATGGCGGCTCTGGAGGATGTCTCGGGCGCCGCGGCCTTCTCAGAGCGTTCCGGAACGCTCTGAGAGCGTTCCTGAACGCTCTGGAACGGATTGATCCTCGTCCTGGCCCCGCCCGATGGAGCTCCGAACCCCCTCCACCGCGCCGTGCCGCCCCGGCTCCCCTGCGCGAGGGCACGCGACTGGGAGGAGCAGAACATCGACTCCTGGGGCGAAGTCCACTGGAAGAACAAATGGTCTTCATCAAAAGGAGTTCATCCCACACCTCCGACGTCGCTCCCCAGAGGTCTGGGAGCCTTCCCCCGGGAAGGGCGTTCCATCCAGAGACTTTTTGACGGGCCCAAGAAGGGACCCTGGAGACCGGAAACGGCCCAAAACCTCCCGTCGCAATTCTCGCGCGACGCGAAACTGTCAGAGCCCAGCGGGCTCCACTGGCACGCGTCCGTCTGCAGCACCAAACACACAGCAGTCAGCAGTCATCGCGCGTCATGGGGCGCCGCTCTCCTGCACCCCGCCGCCGCCGACGACGACGCGCGACTGGAAGGGTGGGGCCGCGTTTGGTTCCTGCCGTGACGGCGCGGGCTCCCAGCTTCCAGTCGACCCGAAGCGCGAAGCGCGTTCCAGGGTCGTGTCTGCCGGCTCCATGGCCCTCTGTGAGGGCCCCCGGAGTCCCCCAAACGGCATTGATTTTCAAATACGTTGAAGTCAGGGGAGGAGGAGGAGGAGGAGGAGGAGGAGGAGGAGGAGGAGGAGGAGGGATGTGGAGCAAGGGAGCGACGCGGTCGTCGGCGGCGCGGGCGGAGCCGCGCCTGGCAGTAGCCGACGTCGGGGCAGTGAGCGGCGCACGCGTTGAGCACGCGGCGCAGCACCTGCGCCCCGCCCCGCACCGGCCGGGCAGGGGCTGGGAGTGGGGCCAGCATGAAGGAGACGGGTCCCGAGGGAAACGGGCCCTGGAAGGCTGTTGCCGTCTTCGGGCCCCTAGAGCCCTCCACGTGCCCCAGGACCAGCAACAGAAAAACAGCTCGGGGCTCGGGATGAAGAACTGCTGCTGGGGAAGGCCCCGGGGTCTGGGGCCGTTGTTCTCCTTTTTAACTCTTCCTCGTCCCTTTCCCGCGCTTTCAATGCCGCCCTCCACGAAGTGGATAGTGAAGCGTTCGCCCCCGAGCAGACTACGCAGATGTGGTTCGAGATCGTTCGCTGCCGTTTCTCGGCGTCGTTCGATGACGGCTTGTTTTAGAGGCCCGCTTCCCTCAGGACCCCCTCTCATTCACGGCGACGAAGAGGAGCGCATGTTTTATTCGCGGCCATAACAGGCGTTGTGGGGGGGAGAGGGGGGAGGACGGGAGGGGGCATAACGGAGCGCTCCCCCCTCCCCCAGACTGCAATGCTGGACGCAGTGCGGCAGTGCCGGGGACGCACTGAGGGGGGGGGAACATCACTTCATGGGGCGGCGGGGGAGGGTTGGGGGCACAACGTGCGTCATGGCCCAGAGGGAAAAACAAACAAAAACAAACAAAAAACAACTCGAGAGAGAGAGAGGAGGGCGCTGACGCGCTTCGTCCTCCCTGGCTCCCCAGACGGGCCCTCCGTGGCCGTGGCCGGACTCGCCCCAGGGCACCTCCGGGGCATCGGCCTCGAGGGCGGCCAGGCGGCCGCCTGCCCGCATGGAAGAGAGGAGAGGGGAGCAGCGAGAGGAGGGAGGGCGGAGGAGTCCTGAAGGATCCTGAAGGATGCCTCGGGAGTCCCGCAGGACTCCCTCAGAAATCCACCGGGGATCCCTCAGGAGTCCCTCAGGAATCCCTCAGGAATCCTTCAGGAACCCCGCGGGAAGCCCTGAGGACTCCCTCAGGAAACCTTCAAGAATCCCTCAAGTCTCCACAGGAATCCTTCAGGAACCCCTCAGGAACCTTTCAGGAATCCCTCAGGAATCCCCCAGGAACATCTCAGGAATCCTTTCGGAGTCCCTCAAGAATCCTTGCTGCCATCCTTTAGGGATCCTTCAAGGATCCTCGAGGATCCAGACGACGAGGGCCCGTGAGCCCTCCCTGTTCCTGGCCTCGGACGACCAGGCACGCCGTCCCGCTCGAGCGCGCCCAGCACCTACCACGGCATGGTCCAGCGCAGCAGACCAGCCGAGGCGACGGTTGAGCAAACGTGGACCTCAGAAACCTGGGCCGGCAACATGGCCAGACTTTGTGCGAAGGCTGGGCCGGCTGAGTGGAAGCCGCCGAAGAAGTGCGGGGCCAAGGCGAGCAGGTGAGGGGGGTCTTAGTGATCCCTGACCTCCTCGCGTCGTGAAGACATCGCGACAGCATCTGTACCAGACCACCAGCGCTCACAGCTAAGCTCAATCGGAGCAGGGCGAGTTGAGACAACGGCAGCTCAAAATCGGTCCCCAGACCCCTCCCAGGGTCCAAACGCACAAGTTTTGCGAGCTGCGTCCAGCCGTGGCGACGAAGGGGCCCCCCGAAGGCCAACTACCATTGTCTCAACTCGCCCTCCTCTGAAACACCATCTGTCGAGTAGGGGATCGACTTCAGAATTGGTCTACCCCAAAATTCAATATTGCCAGACATGCGACAATAAGTCGAATACTTGTAGACCTGCAAGCACACCACGTATTTTTCGTAGACTAGACGAGAAAATTAACTCTGGGGCATATCAACTGTAATCAATCCCCTACTCGAATCTGTATCGGACCGCCAGCGCTCACAGCTGCACTCAAGAGGCAACTCGGGGGCGGCCAAGAGGGGGGCGTCCAAGGGGGGGGGGGGGGGGGGGGGGCGCAAATCATGGCCGGCGGCATGTGCGCGGCCCAGGGGGGGGGGGCCGCGGACGTATTGAAATGAGAAGAGGCGCCATGAAACCTGGGGTAATATCATGGCCCCCGCCGTGATATCCACCCCCCCCCTATAGTCATCATCGCCCACTTGGCCGCCCCCGAGCAACGTGCCTCGTTCCTCGCGGGCGGCCCCCGCGGGGAAGCACTGCCAGCTGGGAACAGCTGCGTGACCCCCCCCCTCCGCGGGCGCCGGCCGCGCGCCGCAGCCGGAGAGCCTTAAAATGGCTCTCACGAAGGAGGGGAGGCAGGAGGAGGGGGAGAGTGTCGATCTGGTGGCCACATGTGAACCCTGCCCCCGCCGCCCCCGACGATTGCCAGGGGGGAGGGTTCACTCCGCTCGGGAGCTCCCGAACGAAGTGAACCCCCAACCGGCCCCACCCTTAGAAATCGTGGGGAGAAGGGGCAGGGTTCACATGTGGCCACCGATCGATTAACAAGACAACTGCATATACACACACACATACATACATACATACATACATACATACATACATACATACATACATACATACATGCATGCATGCATGCATGCATGCATGCATGCATGCATGCATACATACATACATACATACATACATACATACATACATACATACATACATACATACATACATACATATATATATATACAGATATACATGTATATATACACATATAAATGTATATATACATGTGTATAAATACATATATATATATGCATACCTATCGAAAGATGATTAGCTATATCTATATACTGAAATATACAATTCTATACATATATATATATATGCATGTAGAAAGTTCATCGGAGGTCCGCGCGGAATTCTTGGATAGGCGGCGCCAGGGTGGGCACAGCCCCGATCCAGGAAATCCGCCCGGACCTCAAACTATGTCAATGGTGTATGCCGTTCTTCGTTCTTCGAAAGCAGGAGGGGAAGAAAGAGGAACACTGCTTGACGGCTCCGCCCTCGCCTCGCCCATCGCACGGGTCTGCTCCCGACGTGGGCGCAATCGGCCAACGGGCACGGCGCTGCGCGGCATCATGCTCCAGCTGCTCAGGTGGCGCGGTTCCCGCGCTGCCATATCCGATTGCGGTTGAGGAGGTCCCGCCGGCATTGCGAATAGCCCTTCCGGAGCCAGAGGCACTCCGGTGTGACGTACTCCTCGTCGTTGGAGTTCAGGCACTCCTCGAAGGGAGCCCCAGACTTGTAGCACGGCGAGCTCTCGTAGCACTGCAGCATGTCGTTCTTGATACGCAGGCACGAGTTGGAGGCCTTCCAGTGTGGTTTCGAGGCGTCGAGGGCGAAGGACCCCGGCGGAAGCCACGGCTCCTTCTGGCGGCACGCGTAAGCGGGCTGGGCGAGGTGGGGGGCTCTCCAAGCAGGCAGGGGGGGGCGATTGAAAGGGTCCACAAGCTTCCAAGACGGCTTCTCAGAAGGCAGGCGGGCAGAAAGCAGGAAGGCAGAAGGCAGAGGGCTCCTCTCACGGGCCCTGGATCCCAATGCTTTTCCCTGGGACCAACTTCTCATCCTGAGCCGTTCTTTGACAGCCCCGGGGCCTGTGGCTGACCCAGGAAGGCCCAGAGCGGCGGAAAGCCTCAGGACTCAGGACCCCCCTCTTCAGGACCCCGTCTCCAGACCTGAGCTAGATCGAATCGCGAACTCGGATCAAATCGGAAACGGATCGGGTCGATAGCGAATCGTTCTGAATCGAGTCAACACCGGATCGCCGTGCCAGGCTCTGGCTGGCCCCGGCCGAGTCGAGCCGAGTCGAACCGAATTGGAGTCGCGGGCCCCGCGGGCGGATCGAACCGCATCGGATCGGGTCCTGGGCGGCCTTGTCGCTCCCTCGGTGCAAGAGGCACGAGGAAAACATGAATATAAATTCTCGGAGGTCCGCGCGGACCTCTGAGAAGGTATGTTTATGCAGTTGCTGATTCGTCGACTGTGACAACTTCTCTTCTCAAGAGAACGGCGCTCTTCCTGTGCGAGAGCGGCGCTCATGCACAGTACCATGCTTGAACTCCCTTCGGGCCTCGCTCCAACGCGGTGCGCTGCATAGTTTTCCTGCTCCGCGGGCCGAAAAACTGGGCACCGTGCCAGTTCCTGACTACCTACCAGACCACCCCAACCCAACCCGAAGGCCCGAATTCCGGGTTGGGGGGGGATAAGGGTTCCACATGTGTCTTTTCGATGTTCCCCGACCCCCCCCCCCCACTGGAAATTGAGGGCAAATCTGGGCCTTCGGGTTGGGCCGGGGTGGCCTGGTGGGTGCTGACTTCCAGGCCGAGGCTCGACGACGCCTGGGGGACGCCAGCGCGGCACGGTGCACACAGAAGTCGTCCGCGGAGCCTCGGCCGTGGCAGCTCCTCCTTCGGCGCCCCGCCCGTCGCCCGAGCCAGTCGCTCGGGCCCGTCGCCCTCTCCGCTGCAGACCGCGCAAAGCCCGAGCGTTCGGCGTGCGCATCGAACATCGCATCGTATCGGGCCGTGGGCAGTCCTGCCGCTCCCCGTGCGTGACTACCTTTACGTCGGGCCTGTCCCCCTGCAGGGGGATTTTCGACAAATGAAAAATACACCCAAAAGGCAAAAAAAAAAAACGATTCAAAAAAACAACTCTAAAAATAGTCCCCAGGCTATGTTTGGACTATTGTTTGACTATCTCTGGGGTATTCTTTATTTTTCGTCGAAAATCCCCCTGTAGGGGGACAGGCCCGACTTCAGACTACCTACCAGACCACCCCAACCCAACCCGAAGACCCGAATTTCGGGCTGGGGGGGTGCGGCTTCCACATGTGTTTTCTCAAGGTTCCCCGACCCGCCCCCCGCTGGACGTGGGAGGCAGATTGAGGCCCTCGGCTTGGCTTGGGGTGGCTTGGTGGGCGGTGAGGGTGGACAGCTTCTGCTCTGGACGCCCGAAGGGGGCAACTGCACGGTGCCCAACAACAGAGTGCTGCCCAGAACCGACAGCGGCCGCCGTTGGGCGGGAGGCCTGCCGCCCCACGCGGACCACGCCCGCGGCGGCAGCGACGGCGAGCCCCGCTCAAGACGAGCAGGACGTGCCGTCGGTCTCCGCACCCGCCCTGCACTCAGCGGAACGAGCCAATGACAGTACACCCTGCGAAATGCTTAAGAAATCATGGGTTAAGAAATTCATAGTCTCAGAACTTGAACAAAAACCAAAGATTTCGATTAAAACCTTAAGATTTACATTGACACGTTAAGAATAATCGAGACTCTGGCCGAAAACTTAGGTTTTCTTAAGCATCGCCTAGGGTGTAGACAGAAACCTTCGGAGGCCCGCGCGGACTTTTCTCGGATGGGCGCCAGGGGGGCCCTGGCGGCGCCTCCCGCGCCGACCGCGCCAGGGAGAGAGGCCCAGTGCCGACCCCAGACAAAAGTCCGCGCGGACCTCCGGAAGCTGTAGTGCTTACGGCACCGGTTGCTCCCCGAACTCATTCCGTACCCATCTCGATCGCACCGATCTGCGCGCCGCCCGTCCTTCTCGCCCTCGCTCGGGCCTGAGCATCGTTCAACCGATCCCGATTCCCACGGGCGTGGCCCGGGCCCCACTGGCCGATCTGCCCCCCGTCTGTGGGGATCTACACCGTTCCCATGGGGTCTCGAAAGGCAGATCCCCAACTAGGGTGGTGGGATGGCGGGGATCGGGATTGGGATGGAAATGGGGACAGGGATCGATTGAACTATACACGCCGGTCGGAAGAAGTAGGTAGAAACATGAAGTAGGAAGGCGGATTAAGTTGATTGGGTCCAGGCCCCCCCAGGGAATAACAAAACACAGCAAAAGCGTGTCGATTCTTGAAGTAGGAAGGCGCTTGAAGTAGATTGGGATCTGGGAATCCGAAAATACCTACTTTCAACGACCGGCGAGTACTGCGGGCCGTCGCCTCCGCTGCAGCGCGCGCCCGCGCCCTGCGTGCTGCGCAGGCGCGGCCCCGCCGCGGCTCGGGCGACGGGCATGGCGGCAGCCGCGGCGCGCGGTGGCGCCGACTCGGCGGCAGCCGCAGCCCCCATCGAGCCAGGGTGGCCTCGTCGTTCGTTGGGGAGGAGCACTGCCCTGAGGTGGTCTGGCCAATTTCGCCTGAGACATCCTCGCAACTCTGGGGGCCTCTTGGGCCGTCCAGGGGCTGGGCAGTCCCGGGGTGGTTTGGGAGACCTCTTAGGTCGTCTTGGACCGTTTTGGAACCAAGAAGGCGAATGTGCTAAAAATGTACGCTGTCCGGAAGGAATGGGACGATTTGTTCTTCTCGGGGCCCTCCTGGGGGTCCTGTTGGAGCGGTCTTGAGGCGTCGTGGACGCCTCTTGGGCCGTTAGAGACGCATCTTGGGCGGCTGGGTGGCGTCGTGGGGGTGACTCGGGGCCGTGTTTGGCCGCCGTAACGGCTGCCTGGTTGCTCTCAAAAACCATTGTAGGCCCCCCGCAGGCGGACTGGGCCCCTGGGTCCCCCCCCATTTGTCGTCGGGGTCGAGTCCCCGGGGCCCCCGGCCCCGGCACCTGGAGGCCTCTAGGACTGCCGTCTTGGAGGCCGCTGCGGCCGCCTTGGAGGCCTCTGGGGCTTTCTTGGGGGACTCTTGGGGTGTCTTGGAGCTCTCTTGGGGGCCTCTTGAGCAGTGTTGGGGCGATCTTGGAGGCCTCTTGAGCCGCCTTGGAGCGTCGGAAAACCGAAAAGGCGAGAACGCCAAAATCTTCAAAACCTTCTGAAAAATCCATATGTTTGCCTCTCTGGGGGCCTTTTGGGGGCCTCTTGGGGGCCTCTTGGAGCTTCCTGGGGGCCTTTCGGGGCCGAGGGCTCGAAAAGTCCGTTCGGGACCCCCGTCTGGACCCTCTCTTGGAGCCGTCTTGGGGGCCTCTGGGGCCGTCGTGGGACTCTCTCGGGGCGTCTTGAGGCCCTCTGCCTCTTGGGAAGTTCTGGGGCGTTCTTGTAGGCCTCTCAGGCCGCCTTGGAGCGTCGATAAGCCGAAAAGGCGAGAAAGCCCAAATCCTAAAAAAAAAAAACCTTTCTAGTAAAGCAATGAATGTTACGTCTTTGGGCCCTCTGTGGAGGCCTCGTGGAGGCATCTCGGGGTGTCTCGGAGGTCTCTTGGGCCGTCTGAGGGTCATCTTGGGCGTCTTCGAGCGACCTGTGGGCACCTCGGGGCCCACTTGGAGCCTCTTGGAGCTCTCTTGGCGCTCTCTGGTGGCGTTTTGTGGGCCTCAGGACCCCCCCCAACGCCTGCACACCCACATGTGCGATCGGGATTCCGGCCCGGGGGCCCCGGACCTGGTCCCCCGTTCTATGCATACGAGGAACACGCGCACGCTTCGCCCGCTCTTAGGTTCTAGCCCAGCCCATGGCACTGTAATGACACGGAGGTCGGGGTTTGCGGGCAACTCCATGTCGGAGAAGGGTTGCGACCGTCTTGGGCCGGTTATGGGATGTCGCAGGGTTTCCTTTGACTGGCTTTGGGGCTGTTTAGGCGCTGTCTTGGTGGGGAGCAGGTGTCTTTGGCCCCAATGGCGCCGTCCAGGGTTGCCAGATCGATGTCACGACACGCAAGTCGGCTTGCGGGCTCGTCGTAGAGATCGCTGAACAGCCTTGGGGCATTGACTCCATTGACAGGCTACCTGATGAAATGTCGAGGCCGTAGTTTGCTGGTCTTTGGACTTTGGATGTCATCACATGTTCTTGGCCTATCTGGCCGAGCACGTGCGGGAGGGGCGACGAAGGACGGAGGACGGGACAAAAACTGCCTTCAAATAGAATGCATGCGCTGCCACACCAGCTGGCGAAGCGCATGCAAAAGGAACGACGAATGCCGCTTGGGCGCTTCCCGACGGGTCCAAAACGGCCGTGTACAAAATCAGAGCTCTCAAGGGCCCCTGAGGCCCCCTCCCCATTCATATGTATACATACACACATACATACATACATACATACATACATACATACATACATACATGCATGCATGCATGCATGCATGCATGCATACATACATTTATACATACATACATACATACATACAAATTTACCTACATATATACATACACACGTACATACATACGTAATTACGTACATGCATGCACACCTGCATACATACATACCTATATACATGCATGCATGCATGCAAGCATACATGCATACACGCATACATACACATGCACATACACATACACATACACATACACATACACATACACATACACATACACACATACACACATACACACATACACACATACACACATACACACATACACACATACACACATACATACATACGATAGACTGCGCTCGTGGGGCCCGACAGACTAGAAGGGGGGGCCCAGCTTGAAGCTACCCCCCTCCCCCTTCCTTGCTAAAGGGGGGGGGGGGGGTCGGAAGCCCCCCCCCTCTCCCCCCCTTTCGTGGTCCGGAAAGGGGGGGGTGCTTCCAAGCTACCCCCCCCCCTCCCTCACTTTAATTGAGCCGGGGTGAGCCACCCCCCCCCCTTTGAAAGGGGGGGGGCTTCGGAAGCTACCCCCCCCCCTCTTTTCGTGGCCGGAAAAGGGGGGGGGGGGGGCTTCCAAGCTACCCCCCCATCCCTCCTTTTAATGGAGCTGGGGTGAGCGACCCCCCACTTTGAAAGGGGGGGGGCTTTGGAAGCTCCCCCCCCCTCCCCCCTCCCTCCCTTGGTGCAAAAGGGGGAGGGGGGGCTTGAAGCTCCCCCCCCCTCTCCTCTTTGGCTCGTGTGGTGGGGGGTTCATTTGAATCGTTTCTTGGCGGTCCTGGGGCCCGCTGAGGGCCTCTGGGAGCCGAACACATCCAAAAGTTTCCGCCTTGATTTTTGTTACAAGACGTCGGAGGTCTGAGTCCTGGGGCCCGTCCTGGCCGATCTCTCCTCTCCTGGGGCCGGAAGCAGAAAATCTCTCAACCCTTCCGCCTTCATTTTTTCAAGACGTTGGAGGTCTGGGCCCCGGGGCCCCCCCCGGCCGACCTCCGGGAGGGGGAGGGGAAGTCTCCCGGAGGCTTCCCCTCAGGAGGAGGAGGCCTCCTAGGTTTGTGGGGGACATCCTTAGGGAGATCCCAATGCGATCTCCCCCCATCCAGCGGGGCCGGCCTCCAGAGCGGCCCCGGGGGCTGCCCGGGGAGCGGGCTTCGGAGGCCGGGGCGCGGCGGAGGGGCTTCCCCTTAGGCCTCGAGCCCCGAGCCCCGAGCCAGGCAGGCGACCTCGAGCCTCGAGCTTCCCCGAAGTTTGATCCTCGTTCCCCGAACTTCCCCGAATTTTGCAAGAGTTGGCGCTCCCTGGCGCGATGCACCCGTGTCCTGCGTCGTTTGCGCATGAGCGGCGATCCACTCTCGTCGCGTCAGTGCTGTCAACTTCGTGAGCGCTGTTGTGCAGGCTATTGAAGCCGCAGACGTCGGGCCACGTGGTTCCGTTGCTGCTTGAGCGGGCTGCTTGTTTGGTGCGCGGTTTGGCGCCTCTCTTTTTCTTTT